AAAATGGACAGTGAGTGTAGAAACAAGGTAGAGCAAGCTAATAAAGTGGCTTATCAGGGTATATAACACTTACTATGATTATTTTAGGTATATTGAGTCATTTTTATTAGACTTATGGAAAAGTGTGGCAGTAATACCAAATCCTTTTAAATGTAAAAAAGTCATTATAAAGATTTTTTATTATGAAATTCCAGGAATTAGTTGATAAACACAGTTATGTGGGTTATTCTGACCAGTCGTATGTCCATTCTCGTGTTTAAAAACGTTCAGTGTTTTCAACCAGAACCCGTCTATCACAAGTACATTCAAGATGTAGGCCTACAGAACGGACTTTGTACCGTAATGTGAAAAAGGCTTTTTGAGTTGTGACAAATGAGTGTGAACATTGTGAATCATGAGCAATTATAAAGGCTGTGTTGTGGCGTTCAGGACGGAGCAACATCGTAAAAAACACAAACACACCAGCATCACCTGCGGGTTTCCCACAGAGAAACACGTGACAGCATAGACCAATGAAATGAGTCGCAGGCGGAAAACGTAAGTGACACATACTAGTTTAAAGACCAATAGAAATGCAGTGATTTTAGACTAATGAAAAGAAGACATGGGCAGAGTTGGATCAGGCCTGGCTCCACCCCTTTGGGCTTCTGGTTCTACAGCGAGTGATAGTTGGACCCATCAGGGAGCCTCGCCTCTGTTCCTACCTCAACAGCTAAATCTGTAGTTTAAGTCCAGGCCAGGCTTCTATGCTAATCTAAACTAAAATGCAGTCGCTAGCTGCTAGCTTAAATTTGACTTACAGCACAGGGAATTCAACATGTTTGGTAGCTGCAGTAACTTAAAGAATGGGCAACAGCCACAGCAACATACTTGGAAACTGTTTGTTTCCTAGCAATAATTAAAAAGGTCTTACCTTTGGGAAGTTGGAGGACTGCAACCCCTGAAACGTGTATTGACTGCTGTCCATGAGGCACAAAATGCGCTGGGTTGAGGTGATTAAAACCAATGACCGCCCAATCAGTAAAATCTATCAGTTTTCTGCGTCGTTGTTGTTCCTCATAAAACATAAGTAAGTTCTACTCAATGTGTCACAGCTAATTTTATTAAACCAAAACTGCATAAAATGTAATTAATAAATCATTCAAATTTACTGGAGTCAAGTTGAAAACATTTTCAAAATCATTTTGCCACAGAATGAGCGCAGTAGGCAAATGGAAACATGCAAATTCATTGCCATTTTGCATATTACATTTTCATTTTCATTTTGCTACTGATATGCCTCCATAAGTTATAAAGCCAGTTACCCAGTTATCCAAATACCTAAGTTATGAAAAAACAATTGACAGTTGTCTGCATATGCTTTAATATTTGAAGCTGAATATTAGCTGGATTTGTCCAGCCAGCTTCAAGTTCGTTCATAAACATTCTTTTTCTTTTGTATTTATTATGGTTGTTATGCTAAGATGCTTGTTTGGTGACTGAACTAGCAAAGTTTGGCTCAAGATAAGGTAGCAACAAGTTGTGCTGTCCTAAGTTGCATAAAATGAACATTACTGTTGTGTTTAAGTGATTGTGTTTTAAAATTGTATTTGTGCTAATGTTTGCATTTGTTTACTCTAATCCAGGTCCAAGTCACTCTGAGATACAGAAGGAATCACAGAATGATCTATGTTCTTCTACTGACTCCAGCTCTTCTGCAGATGAAGATTCATCCAGTGAGGAAGATTTTCATCACAAAACCAAGAAAGGGAAGAACAAGAAGGATAAAATGGAAAAGAAGAACAAGGACAAAAAAATGAATGCTTTTCTCAGCTGTCACAGGCAGAACTAGTTTCCTTTAATATGCATGCTTTCTGTTCTAATTACAGTGCTACACATTTGGGTATCAAAAATGTAGAGTATTAATCGTGACCTCATTCTGCAGTGGTGAACTGCATGTACATGGCTAATAAATAAATAAAATCCATGTATGGGAGTTTGGGAACTCCTCTTTTTAGATAAGGTCATTTGTCAGACTCAGAAAGTTGTCTTCATCTGCTAGGTCAAGTGAAAAAACAAATAAAAAGTAACTGTTTTTGCCTTGTGGTAACAGCATGTAAACATTTACAAGAGTCAAATTTCTTACAACTTCATCATATTAAAATTTTCAGATTTAGACAGTATAGGTTGCAAAAAATAGCAACTTTAACATTTTGAAGTTATCCTTAAACAGATAAAAAATAAATAACTTAAACAGCTCCCAACGGTGTGTAATAGTCAGTGATGTTTATAAGAAAATGGAGCTCAATTGTTATAGAAAACATTTGTGTAGTATGAGTCACTGACAGTGTTAAGAAGGTACAGGTCAGGAGGGGGGCTTGCTTTTCAGTGAACAGTGCAAACGAGAAAGCTCACCAAACTGGTGTAGTGTTTCATGCAGGGCTGCACACATGAGTCACATTTGTCTGGTTAGACTGAGCAAAGTTTTATGATCAAGTTCATTGTGTTTTTTTGCTTACTGTGTTGTTGAACCTCGCCAGGTTATGTTTCCTCTTGCTGTGGAAGTGAACAGCGAAGGCGAGCACTGCATAACCCCATGTCTCACTGAAAAGCACATTTGATTGGATGTCCTCAACACGTGATCCACACTTCTAATTCACGACAATTAATCATCTGCTGAAATATAATGATTGTGACAGGCATATGGACTGGATATGTTTAATGTTTTTATGTGATGAAATCATAAATCATAAAATGAAATGCTAATAGCTGTTTAGAACAGGTTTTCTTGTATACATTATTTACAGTTAGGACTGCCATGATTAATCAGTTAATGAATGCATTTACTGTTTTCTTTTATTTACACCTAGAACACCCAATTCACGTAGTACCTGTTGCATCATAATATGATTGTGAAATCAAATCAAACTGTGGAGAATGATTACAGTCAGGTTTCATTTCAAATAACTTCAATTAGCATAACTGATTTTTAGTTTATGCTGAAGGCCGATGAAAACTTTTCAAGAGCTTAGAAAACTACACCCATTTTTAATAACTTATTTTTACTTAAGACCCAGATTTTTATTTTTATTTGAGGTCCATAATTAACATTTATAAGAAGGGGTTCTCAAACATTTCCATGGTTCTGTAAAAACATTTTTTTTATTTTTTGAAAAAAAAAAAAACACCTACTTGTTAATCTTTTTTCTTAACTGTTTCCTGTAGCAAACAGTGTCCAGGATGTGGTGAGAAGGTACAGAAGACTACTGAGGGTGACAAAAAGAGGTGCAACAATGACCAGAGCTTTTCAGAAAGAAGGAGTTTCTAGGAATGCTGTGGCCCAACTTACCCCAGTTGCAGAATTATATTTTGCAGACAGGGCCCAATTTGACACCCTCACCTCTATATCAGGAAAGTTGACAGAGTTTGTCCAAGTGTGTAAAGAGAGGATAACAGGGGACATTCAAACAAAAGTGACTGAAATGAAAAGAAAAGGCTTACTCTTGCCTCTTCTGGTGAATAAGTAAAAGGCACTGACTTGTTTCAATGCTGTGTTGCAGTTTCAGTGTGTAAAATGTTACTTTTCTTACCTGCTGATCAGTCAGTAGCTTGTTGTAAGTTGTAGAACATGTTGATTTAGGTGGAAGACAGCTGAATTTATGTGAGTCCAGTGAAAATTATTACATTGGCATACAATGAGCAAACTGCATAAAGAAGACTGTCCCCCTGAAGTTACACTAAACACTGACTTCACTGAAGTGGTTTGGAATGTTTTCCTGTTTGATGTGCATTAACTGTTTGAGTTAAAACTCATCTTGATTTTGTGTCTTAAATTGTTTTGTGGTTGTCAGTCTACAGAGCAGCTGCTGCAACCCAGCTGAACGTCTAGCTATTTAAAACATGCATGCAGTCAGCAGTGTTTCTGATTTTCTTTAGAACTTTACCAATGAAACAGAAATGCTGTAGATTATCTGTTTAATTGACTAGTGTTTCACTTTATTTGGATGGTCCAAATTCACATCTACAAATGCTTACTTGAGAGGAATGATATACTTCTACTGACTTTCTTCTAATATGCACCTGGAGTCTGACTAATGGCTTAAAAGACAATTTGAGTTTCTACATACAGTCTACTGATAATCTGTTGATGGTCAGTAGCACATCTATAGAAATAATACTGATAGATGGAGTTTCTAAATACAGTCCACTGATAATCTATTGATGGTTAGTAGCACATCTATAGAAATAATACTGATTGCTTGATGATATTCTAGGAGTGATAAATAGATCAGCTACAATATGACTTGATTATATTTTACTGAGGGTCTGTTGAATGTCTATGAATGTTCATCTGCAGACTGTAATCAAGAGTCAAAGAGAGTGTTTGCATAATGGAAACCAATGGTATGCTGAAGTTTTAGTTTATGGTAAGTCAACACTCTACAGATAGTATCTTACTGCTAGTCAGCAGATGCACTGCTAGCAGCTTTCTGATAGTGTGTTGAACATCTACAGGGGGACTATCAAAATAAAGTGTTACCCAAATCTGTTATTACACTGATTGTATGTGTGAGTTGGGAAACCTTCTGGACACAGCCATCTCTCTTTTTATGTAGCAGCCTGACCCAGACCAGGTCGTTAACAATGAGTAGTTCATAATCTGTACAGCTCTACTGCTGCTGTTCAAAGCTGAGTCATGTATCTCATGTATCCAGCCTTTGAGAGTGGTTTCCCCCATGACACAATATGCTTACTTGTTTAAAAGGTTTTTATGGTTTGTCTTTAAGTATCGCTGTCAAAAAAGTATCTTTTTTTTTTTTTTTCCATTTTTCTACATCATTCAAGCACAGCAACTGCCCTTAATACTGTGTGATTTTTTATTTATTTGACCAATAGAAATTCTCCAGATTTGCTTGGAATAAAATGAACTTACATTAAACATAAAGGAAGTTTTTGCCTTTTTTGTAAAGTTACTATTTAGTTTTCATAGTAAAAAAAAAACATGAGTAAATCAACAGGAATTACAGACAAATATAGCATTAGTTTTATTTAAACATTTTAACAAGTCTTCAGAAAATCCAAAAGATAAAATCTATAAAATCTAGCTGTTTTATATTTTCATAGACACAGTCAGAATTCCACTCCTAGTATCAACTGCCCACATATATAGGAGTATATGTATTTATTAGTCCACTAAAACATTCGCTGAAATAAGATAAGAGAGAACAGATCTGAATGCCTGGAGCATTCAGTTTGTAAAGGTTTGTTTTTCTATAAGAAAAAGAGAAGAAAAAGTACAAATGGTACAACAGTAAAACATACATACTTTTCAGAACTTATATCACCCTAGATGTTCTTTCCGCTCTTCCTTTTCTGGAGGTGAATACTATTCATTTCTACTACAGTATACTACATTTAGAGTTGTTTATCCTTTACAGTTGCCACACTTTATCCTTCAGTTCAGTGAATCTTCTGCATCTATCTTTGTGAGATGTTCTCTCTTATTTAAGAAGCATTTCCATGTTAAACAGCTCACAGCTGTAGTAGCTGTGATTGTTCGCATTCAGCATCACGTGAATCTTCTGGAAGAGACTGGTCACCTGAGAGCGGTCGTCTCGCTTCCTGTTGTTGAACACATGATACCTCCCTCCACAAGCAGATATCAGGTGTTTCAGGTCAGGTCCAACCTCCTCTATGAAGGTTTCCACTGTCTTGTGGTCATACTCAAGATCATCTCCACGTGTGAACAACACAATCATGTGCTTGCTTATTCCATCACCAAAGTTTTTTTGGTATTTTCTGACAGTGTCTTTCTCCTCGTGAGTGAAACGTCTCACATCAATCACAAGAAGAAAGGCATGAGGACCGGGAGCAGCCATCCGAACACCCCTCACAATCTCTTTGATTATAAAGTCATTACTCATTGTGGTGTCATACAAACCAGGGGTGTCAATGATTGTAATAGTTTGGCCATCGATCACTTTTGTTTTGCCTGAGCAATAAAAGGTAGTAGAGGTGGCTCTGGAGTCAGATTTGAACGCTTTCTCACCCAGAATGGTGTTACCTGTAGAGCTTTTGCCAGCCCCAGTCTTGCCCAGTAGGACCAGCCGCCATGGAGCGCCACCTGTTAAATGAAACAAAAAGTAATAGCCACTAAACAAACTTGCCAGCACCTGTTGTGACATCAGTTAATTCCCTGTAATTTTGGAATATAATATCTTAATTTGAATACTTTATTGTACATTGCTATATTGCTGCAGTCGTATATTGCTGCACTGATGCTCTTTGTGTCTGCTGAAAGTACCCTTCACTAAATTTGCATTCAGATATTTCACAAACATTCACCACTGTAAGCCACGGCTGTCACAGTAACAGTATCGTTGGAAGTTTAGAGTTGGTTTGTAATATGAATTTTCTTTAGTCTGAGAGATTTTATAAGATCGTGCACTTTGCTGTGACTCCTCCTGTTGATATTTTTCATGATTGGATACTTTGTATGTTGTGAGCTGGACCCTTTAGCACTATGAAAACCCTCAGGGTGCTGCTTCCTTTGTGTACTTCTAAGGTGACTTTAGATGTCTTATGTTGTTTTGTCATACAAATCATTGCACTGTGCCGTGTGTTACAGGTAATTTAATACAGAAGAATGGGATATATTCTGGCTTAGCCTGCTCTAGTAATGACACTCTCAATTTGTACTTAAATGCTAGAACAGGATTTCTCAACCTGTGGGCTCCGGACCACCGGTGGGCTGTGAAGCACCCTCTAGTGGTCCATGGGCCTGTACTCAGGGAGCCAGTAGTTCGTAGTGGGCTGGTAACATCACATTAAGTCATAAAACATAAGTGGAAAACAGATTAACCTAGACCTCATGATTAAAAATCGACGAATCAAACATTTCCAAATTATAACCATAATACAAATATTAACAGAGATGTATAAATTAAAACATTGCAGTCGCAGCCTGATTAAACGTCACTAGTTTGACACAGCGCAGCCACTGGCGCTCAGGGCAGACAGTTATTCAGAGATGGAGAGGCTCCTCAGGGCAATTCCTCCTACCAGACTTTTCTTTAGTTCACTCTACTTTAACGTGTGTGAACTTTAATGAAAACAGTCGTGTTCTTAGTGCTTTTTACAGTGTTGTTCTGGTATGACTGCTTTTAATAGCTTAAATAACTTAAATAAATGAAATAAATAAAAATATATAGCAAAGTTTTACTGCTCAAATATAGCACTGGTATAGCTCAGTAGACTTAATGGTGATTCTCAGAAATCCCAAAAAAAGAGAAATAGAGTTAGACAACATGAATTACTTCTGGCCTAGATAGTTATTCACACCATCAGAACCGAGAAAGCTCCTAGTTTTGAGTGAGAAATGGTTCAGTTCCTGACTTTAGCTCAGTTTCAGACAAAGATCAGTGTTAGTATCTTAGTTAGTATCTTAGCCAGACTGATCACAGTGTGTGACTTCACTGAGGTCTCCACTGAAACTCAGGAGGAGACGTGTGAGATTACTTGGTTTCTTCTCATGAGAAACATCTGACTTAAGAAAAGTCTCCTTTGTTTTTCCATCTGATCTTGCTGTCTAGGAGAAACTACAGAGATATTACGGAGATCTCTATCGTTTTATTTTTCTTTCCTGTGGGATACACAGTCATGTCTAAAAGTTTGGATTTCCTGGTCAAAATGATTTAAATCCAGAATCACTGTTTTTAATAGCTGAATTTAACATAATGTAAGTGTGGCCTGTTTAAAAGTTATGGTGCATTTTATATTTTGTCATATTTAAGGATATCCATCCATCCATCATCTAAACTGCTTATCCTTCTGGGTCGCAGTGTCACCTATCCCAGCTGTCATTGGGCAGAAGGCAGGATACACCCTGGACAGGTCGCCAGTCCATCGCAGGGCAGACAGACAGACATACACATTCACACCTAGGGGCAATTCAGCACGTCCAATCAGCCTGACTGCATGTCTTTGGACTGTGGGAGGAAACCGGAGCACCCGGAGGAAACCCACACAGACACGGGAGAACAGGCAAACTCCACACAGAAACGACCCTGGTCACCTGGCCGGGAATCGAACCCAGGCCCTTCTTGCTGTGAGGCGACAGTGCTACCGTGCCGCCCTATTTAAGGATATGTTAATGCTAATTAGAAAATCAACAAACTTTTGCATACAATTATTTTTGGAAAGTTCACAAAAGTAACACACAGATGTTTGTTTTAAATAAATAAAGTTATTTCTTTTCTTTCTTGGTTCAGTGTTACGTCACACTTTATTATTAAGTTCTTTATTTATTGTCCCTGTGATTAAATATATGAAAATATACATCAAAACTTATTTAACTAATTAAAACCAAATAACTCATTCTCAATCTTTTTTCTGAAACATTATTTTTTAGTGTCTGTGATTCCAGACCACTGTGGTGCAACGGCTGCTTAGACACTGACGAGAGGAGCTGATGATTCAGTACAGATTGTTTCAATTGGTGCTACGAGGTTCTGGGATGAGCTCCTCTGGAAACACCATACTCAGCACAAAACATCTCTTATTCTTATAATTCTTATAAAGAATTCCACTTCTTTGGTCCTTCATTCATGGAGCAAACCACAATCTTGTTTTCACACAGTGATGACATTGAGTGGAGAACCTTTGATGAATTCCTCATGGAAACAGGAGCAGAGTTTCAAGCCCTGTTAAGGTGCTGCAACAACAGATGGCATTAGTGGAACAACAGAGATAAAAGATCTGATGAAAATGTGGAGAAACTCCTGAAAGATCTGAAAAAGACGGAGATGAAAGACCAGCAATCCGTGAAGGGTTTCCAGGACAAGATGCACAATAACAGGAACCTCTTCCGAGCAGAAAGGGATGAGTTTAAAGAGGTTAAGAGAGGGATGTGCAGCAGTCATGGATGCACAAAAATTTAAAAACCTATCCGAGTTCTATTCCTTGGAATCACCAAAGATGGGAAAGACGCCAAGTATCAGGACACTTCAAAACCAAGGTGAACAGACTGAAGACAAAAACGTTTATAGTTACAGTTCAGCTGGACTGAGTCTGCAGCTGTTAGACTGTCCTGGATTTGATGGGAATCCAAAAGAAATCCAGGAGGCCATCTCTAAATCTGTGTTCACGCCTGGACCCCATGTCATCATTATAGTGACGAGCGTCGGCCACTTCAGTCCAGCAACCAGACAGCCAGATGGCGCCACATGAGTTGCAGCTCCCTTTGAGCTTTTTTCTTACTTTCTGTACTAAGTATCTATATTTTTTATTGTTTTGTCAAGGGTTTTTGATGAAAACTGAAGAGGAAGAGACGGGGTAGTCGTGCCGGGGTTACCAGACATGATAGTAAATGCTAGAAAATGATCATGTTTCAGTTGCAAGCATGTGAATCAGAACCTAATCAGAACGCAGTCTGAACCGTAATCAGAACTCATTCTGAACCGTATTCAGGACTCAATCAGAACTGTAATCAGAACTCAATCTCAAGTGAAGTGAGCTGAAGACTGAAAGCTACCTGAGGAAAGCACACACCAGCTTTTAACAACACAAACTCTCGTGACTTATTAAGGAGAAACAGCCTGAAATCAACCATATGATCAGTGAGATTAAAGGAGGATCTTAGGTGGATGTTTACAAATGTTTACAAAATTACTTACAAATACTGTGTAAATGATAAAATACATTTTAAACATCTTTATTAATGAATTTGCAAGACCAGAACTAAAATGGAACATCTTAATTCTAAATTATTAATAGCTTACTGTTGTTAAATGCTTATAAATGATGATGTTTGGTCAGATAATTATTGCCTGTTCATGTTCCTTGATGACCATGTCACATTACACACTTTAAGATTGCTTTAATTTGAAGGATTACAGTTAATGAACATTAATTAATTATTCAATTATTCAACTATTCAGTAGTTAATAACTAAATTACACATGAAGTAAAACCTTTATAACATTCACTACTTGCAAATGTTATGTTTCTTATTTATTAGGACATTTTGAACTGCTTGCTAATAGTTAAATTGTTAAGAAACAGAACTTAAAATAAAGTGTTACCAGGATATTTGTACTGTTGACACTGATGTCACATCTATGAAACCGCTGACGTTTTTCTGGCAGGTTTCAGGGAGACTTGTATGAGTTTATCAGTGCTGACTGTCTAAACTTCTCTGTAAAGGCAGTGTGACATTGAGGTGCTTGTGGTGCTGATTGGAGTGTTTCACCAATTCACATTAAAGCCTGAGACTGTTCATGGTTCTCTGTTTGTGGTTAAAACACTAACATAAATAAATAAAGAACAAGGACTTACCCCAAAGTTTGGGTTGAGAAGAGCTGCACTGATCCTGTGTAAAGTATGGCATAAATAAAAAAGGAAAAAAACAGACTGTGCATTAGAGACTTTCACAGTGAGTAAATCTTAATTAACATCCAAAGTCCTTCAGGTTCACCCATTGGGGAATATTAAATGTAAACATCACTGACGTGTTCTAAAGCCCCCTCACAGAAATATTACCAATTTAAAAGCTCTTTTTATGAATCATCTGTCGAAGGAAGTCAAAGTATTTGAAGTATTTAATCTAACTAGCAGCAATGACACCCACGATATACGAGACTGAACTACCACAGAAGAGTGGAGTCAGACCTGCTGTCCAGAGAGAAATCAGCATAAAAACAGCAGTGAACAGACAGAGGATATGATAACTGATCAAATCTGGGAGACAATCAGACAAACAGACACTAAGAAAAAATAACACAAATAATCAAGTCCGTCTAGTCAAACAAGAGGCAGCATTCTCACAGAGCAACATGAAGAACTAAGGGAGCCAGGAGGGTTTTAAATA